AAAAAAAAAAAACACTTTATTAAATATTTACTTAGTACCCATCTACTGCCTGCTACTGTGGCACGGATCAAAGAGATAAAATAGAAGCTTGGGGCACTATTTTCTGCTCCCTTCATGGAACTTATAGTCTCACAAATAAATAGAACTTCAGTTGAAACACTGACAATAATTAAATAGAGTTGTAATAAATACAGGAATCCACATTGTAAACTACTCACAGCATCCAAAGGTGCCTTCCATGACTGTTGTGGAGGCTGCTGAAATACTGTCTTTGATAAAAAGCCTGGGTCTACAGGTCAGAGTACCCAGGGAACAGCGCAGGAAGGAACACCCATTTGAAATGGCTTGGGGAACAGAAGAGATGGAGACGCTGGTCTAGACATCAGGGCTGGTAGAATTTCTCCATCCAGGACAGGAGAATGTCTACTTCCCCAAAGGCTTTGGTCAGGGCTGCTTCTATGTCCAACTAAAAGGAAAGGAAAGTTGAAGGCTGCCCACGCTGGCTTTAAGAATAGTTTTCCCTCCAACCCGCCATGGCTAAAACAGAACTGACTCCAGATCATAGACTTGGTCACCTTAGGGATGGCCTTAAAGAAATTACCTCCCCATCACTTATCCCACATATATATGCATATCTGCTTATATGTATCTGCTTCAAGTGTGAGGACAAATTGGCCAGTGAGTAGCAATGGGTAAGGAGCACGGAGAAAGCATATGGTGCCCCAACAACAAGAACCGTAGCCTCTGGCATGGGGTGGATGTGGTCCACCACCTGAGTCCCATGAAGAAATGGGCCCAGGTGCCCCCTTTCTCTTGGATGTTTTTGCTCTTCACCATTTATTTATAGGCTAATGTATCTGTTCTTCAAAAAAGTGATCAAAATCATCTCTATTTGGAGGGGGCCTGAGGGTGAAATTTGGGTTTTCTTTGTCTTACTTTGCGAAAAAGTACTATAATTTCCCATATTTTTTCCCACGAGCTAGACCATTTGCCCATTAAGGAGGATACTGCAGCTGTGTAGGGGGTGGGGGAGGAGTGTCTCCTCTCTTTCTCCCTCACTTCTGACCTCAATTAATTGCCCAGCTCAAGTACATATAACACACTCTCACAAGCAAAGTCCTTTATGGTGAAATCACCTTGTAGGGAAACAAAATAGCATTTTAACTGGAAAACAGACAGAAAAAAAGATCATTTGTGATGCTTATACAAAGTATATAGTGATTGATGCAAATATATCTGTGTTCCTGCTAAGTCAGGTGGCTTTGGGGCAAGCCCAGTGGAGTCCCCTGCATTAACTTCTGCGTTGGGTTTCGGAGGCACCCTCATGTGATAGTTTGGGCTAGTCTACTTCTTCTAGATGGGTCTTACCTGCTTGAATGCTCTCTGGACCAGCAGAAACCGCCTGTGTGCACTCTCCCTGATGGAAGACATCTCATTTTCCTGATGGTTAACAGTGGAAGAAAAGTTGTGTCAAGTATTAGTTCGGAGCAGAGGCAAGCTTCCCCCCCAACTCCTCCTGGAGATGACAGAGGGACTCTAAGTCCTGGGAAGACATGGCTGAGTCCCACATCCCTGAGGTCGAGGTGGCCAGTGCCAAACTCCCTCCCTGTGTCAGGGGGCCAGGCAGGAGTGATCATCCCATTTTACAGAAAACAAAACTGAAGTTTAGAGGGGTTGAGTGAGGACCTTGCCAAGGTCACCTAACTGCCTAGAAGTAGGCCCAAACTTGAACCCAGAACTATCAGTGCCCAGAGTCCATGCTCTTTTCCATGAGAGCCATGACTCCCTGTTGTGAATAAAGCCAGGAACAGATAAGGGAGGGGCGTATTCTCAACACACACCATTTCCCACGGCTCCTCGGCCCAGCTGCCTTCTACTCACACTGGGCTGCAGTTGTGACTTGATGACAAGAAAGCTGTTGGCCAGAGTGGAGAATGACTTCACAGCTGAGAATGACTTCATTGTCCTGAATTCAACTATCTTTTTGTGGTAGTTTTTGAAAACAGTATTCAAGTAGAACTTCAGCAGGGCATGGATGAGATGACAGCTCTCAGCATCCTGTGGAGGGTCTGGGTCACTCTGGGACTTAGGCCCCTGCCCACCCAGCCCCCTGGAGGAACAGCCACATGCCACCCAAGCCAAGACAAGCATGATAGAGGCAGGGATCTTCTGGGAGACAAGAAGAACCCTGGATCCGAAGGCCCCTTCCAGGGCACGTAGAGTAGCACCTCTGTTTTACAGGCAAGACACAGGACCAGAGAGAGAAGAGACCTGCCAATGTCACACAGCCAGCCAGTGGCAGACACAGGCCTAGCTCCCAGGACTGCTGAATATCCCTCAGCTTTTCTAATAGCTATGGGGCAGGTGAGAGACCCTGAGATACTCTTAAACATGGACTTGGTAGTTGAGAGTTGGCTGGAAAATGACTGCAAGGAGAAGGAATGAAGAGAAATGAACATTCTAGAACACAGCCATTGCAGTCCATCCTCCCTGGAGCTTGGCACCTTCCAGGATCAGAGCTCAGTTCTGTGCTCACTCACTCACTGCACGGACGATGAGAAGGTAGCAAGGGAGAGAGAAAAGGATGGAAATGGGAGGGGGGAACCTGAATAGATGCCCTTCGGGTCCACACAAGCAAAAGAGAAATAAAAATGGGTGCCAACTAACTGGTTAAATGGAGAAAGATGTTTACAAGCCTCAATCCACACCCATTCCCCAAACACCACACACACAAAGACATACACACACACAGATGTGCACACACAAACACGTACACATCACGTAGTGATAAACCTAAACAGACACTGACTTCTCTGGCTCACTGCACAGCCGGTAAGATCAATTCAAGGCAGAGGTGAAGGGATTCTACCAGCCTCCCCTAAGACAGCCTCCCACCCCAACCACAGCAGACCAGACCCACAGAGTGGTCCTTCCCCAGGTCTGATTACCGAGATGTCCTGCAGAACCTCCCGCCGTAGCAGCCGGACGCTGGTGACGTTATCCTGAGCTTGCTGTGGGAAAGAAAGAAAAGATGTCTCCAGGTTCACAGTCAAACAGAAACCAGCCCTACAAGGGTGTGCCGCGTCCCTAGACTCCTAAAGCTACCCAGTCTCTGAGATCTCAGAAGCCAGAGGAACTAAAGGAGGACCGAGAAGGGGGGCCGTATTGAGCTGGCCCCTGGGGAGGGGTTGCAGGGTTTCAGCCATGGACAACCACTGAGCTTGACTTCCCCGGGGCAAATGGAAGATCTCCAGCAGTTCTTAGAGCCTGAGCCCGACTTGATGAGATCGGTTTTTGACCCCTTGAGCCATCCGAGACAGGAGGACATAGGCCTGTCTGGTTTGGTTTGAGAACCCTTAGGGGCAGGAGTTTGCCTTCACATGGTGAGGAGGTGTGTGTTGCGGGACAGGCTGCCCTAGAGCTGCCTCTGGCCCTCAGAGCCTCCTCTGCAGCCTGGCCACTTGTTCTGGTTCTTGGATCTAGAGCCAAAGGATGAAGCCTGGGTGAATCAAGCTCTCTTCTTCATTTCCCTGGGGCTCTGTTTATGTTTCTAGAGGCTCTTTCTGAGCCTCAGTTTCCTCATATAAAAACTGAGCTTGTGGTGCCTTCTGACCTCACAGCGTCATGGTATAGGAAACTGATTAGCAAGCTGCAAAGGACTCCATAAGCATAAAATATTATCCTTCCTCCACGAGAACCGCAGCAGCTGGATCTAGAACAACTCTTTATTTACCACAGTGTCCTTCACGGCCCAGAAGGCCTTCCACAGTTCCTGGAGAGCAACCCCTTTCACTCGGCAAGACCCAAATCGGAACTCTTGGCCCTGGGCTCCCGGCAGTTGGCTCCAGAGAAGCAGGATCAGACTCAGGCAAGGGAGAGCAGCTGTAGGCATCCGAGGGCCCATCACCAGCAGGGGAGAACAGGAGAGTCTGCTGGGACAGAGGAGGCATCCCCTGAGACAGGCTCTGACCAGGGGCCCCTCTGACTCCATAACAGCTCTCCTTGAATCTGCCTGGGCCAACCTCAGGGGCACTCAGCGGGAAAACCCTTAGACTAGGGTAGGTCCCCAGCCTAGAGTATTGCAAACTTGAGGACTTGCTAAGGTGCATCAGAGTAAAACAGGGGTCTTTCCACCCCTCAACCTCATGCCTGCTGGTCTAGCCTTCTCTCTGCCCACCTTCTCCCCACCCCCAGCCCACCCACAAGCCCTGTGCCTCCTTCCCTCCCTACTACAGCCCTCTCCAGCCTCTAACATGCTGGTCAGCATGACCGAGAAAAGGGAAGAATAGGGGGTTCTAATGTGCCAAAGGACAGTGAGGGAAGCCCACGCTCAGGAGGATGGAGAGCTTGACTAGATGTGTGCTTGTCCCCACATCACCAGACACACTCAGGCAGGTCTTTTTGTCCCTTTCAGGATGCAGCCATCCTTGACTCCTCATCACCAGGGATCCAGGAGCTAATCCTGGTCCCCTGGGAGGGGCACGGGGGCAGGCCAGGGTCCACACGCTCACTCTGCCACCTCAACTGACTGACTCACGCTTGACTCTAAGAATTCACTTTTTAAATAACTGAATAAGAAGGATGAAATCAGATTTACAGGTGAATCACTCTTAAAACCTTCCTCTAAAGTGTCAGTTGGGATAACTGTGTGAGGAGCCTCCAGGCTGAAGGAATCTGACATGCGTATCTATTTATCACAACTCTATGCAGAGAATGTCTTCCCAGTGCCGCCTTTGCCCTTTGCCCTTTGGCCTTTGCCCCTTGCCTGCCTACCTTCTTTCCTCTTTCCTTCCCTTTCTGGCTTCCTCTCTTTCCTTCTTACTTACTTCCACAACCATTTAAGACCCTTTGCTATTCCAGACACCAGTCTCACACTTGAAGAAAATGTCTCCCACCCTTAGACTGGACAGAAAGACCCCAGGAGACCTGTCTGCCAACACTGGGGCTAGGAACGTGGTGCCCAGGGCCAGTGCCCACTATCCTCCATCACAAGGGTCTGTGCTTCAGCCTCAAAAATCTTCTCAAAATCTTTTAAACTCAGAAAAAAAAAATCTTCTCATCCTGTTCTTGCAAATTCCATAGGCCTTACAGCTTCTCTTGAAATTTTACCTCTGAGTCTCATAATACTTCTGGCCTTCCTCTAATCCAGCCTCAATTCTTCTTGATGAGAGAAAGCAGCTCGTTATCCACAATCATGTCTTGTCTTTACATAAATGCTCGAAAAGTTGACTTCTGCCACCACCCTCAACTCCCATTCCCAAATAAGGCAGCAGTCTAGTGCTTCAAAGCAAAGTACTCAAGCGTCCCCCATGGCTGACATGGTGGTGTGCACCTATATGTAGTCCTAGCTACTCCAGGAGTTGAGACAGAAGGATCACGTGAGCCCAGGAGTTCACGTCCAAGTCCACCCTAGACAACATAGTGAGACACTATCTCTAAAAGGAAATAAATTAAAAAATAAAAAAAGAATCCCCCATGGCTCACCTCAGGTCCTATAAGTGATAATTGAGGGCTGCTCTCTGGAGGTGGCTAGTTCTTTTTATAGAAGGGGAAAGTTGGGCAGGCAACTCTCTCACCATTCACCGCTCAGGGGTATAACTGTAAGTGGAAAGTTCCTGTCCCAGCTGTGGAAGTTCTTTTCAAAAGCAAAGGTGTGCAAGCGAGCAAGGCTTTGTGGAGATTTGTAAGTATATATGGGGGCTGGGGGGAGGGGCAGAGGAAGAAGAGGGAGGTGGAGAAAGGGAAATTGGTCATGCTTTCCTAGAGAATTACTTCATTGCCTAGTCACCCTTCACTTTGAGAAATAGGGAAATGGGGAAAGCAGCCCCTGAGGTGAGATGAGACCTGGGTCTGACTTCAGACTCTGCCACTGGCTTTGTAGCCAGAGGGAAGTCTCCTAGCTTCCCCCAGCCACAGCATTTACATCTGTAAAAAAATTCTTTTTTAAATTTGTTCCACATCCCTCAGAGGGCAGGTGTAAAGAACAGAGGCAAAAATAACACAGGAGCGCTTGGTGAACTCTACACACATGTAAATTCATTATTACTGTGCCTAGTACCTCAGGCACCTGGCCGTGAAAATAACTTAATAATTATGCTTTGTTAGTAATGGGACAGTACCCCAGAGGCTAAAGATAACCTGTAAGTACGTCTCCTTTCATCCATCAAGGCTAGGAATTTTCGGAATGTTTCCTGACATGCAGCCACCCACAGTCCATAGGCTTACAATTACTCAACCTAAATATGTTTCTCCTTAGGTTCTGGAATAGGAATGAATGAGCCCAGAAATCTGAGAAGCCTGATGCCCCAGTGGGCCATCCTTGGCCTGTGTGGCTCTGCCGGGAACCACCCAGAGGACACAGGCGGTGTGGTGTCTCAGGAGTACCAGTGCAGTCAGGAGCTCTGACCAGATCTCCAGCTAGCAAGGAGCTTGGGCATCAGTTTCCAGATGTGTCAAAGGAGGCATCAGCTGCAACAGGATTTCCCAAAGCACATCCCACAGAATGTAGTCTTGAGGAGTGCTTGTCTTACAAGACACTCCCTGAAATAAATGTGTTCCTAGTCAGGTGGATTAGAGAAGTCTGGCATGTCCTGGCCGCTCCTGGAAACACACAGAAGAGTAAAGACATTGAGAAATCCAGTGGGGAGCAGGGGAATAGGTTTAATTCTATTTAGCATATCCCGTAAGTATTGCCCCATATTCCCGAGGAACACATTTTGAGACACGCTGGACTCTGAATCAGGAATTGGAAAACTACAGGCCACGGACCAGCCCAGCTTGCCATTGGTAAGCTAAGAGTATAGCTTAGCCCTGTGACCTAAGAATAGGTTTGACATGTCTAAATGATTGGGGGATGGAGAATCAAAAGAAGAACAAGATCCGTGACCACATGTGAAAATTATACAAAACTGAGATATCAGAGTCCTAAATAAAGTGTTAATGGGTCACAGCGTAGCCCATTTGTTTATATATAGTCTCTGCCTGCTTTCATGCTACAATGCAGAGACCGTATGGCCCACAGAGGCTAAAATGCATATTCTTTGGTCCTTGACAGAGAGAGTTGGCTGTTCCCTGCTCTAAATTACACCCACTTCCCCCCACACAAACATTCTAAGAGTTAGCTCCAACCTGGGTCCAGGCAAGAGAAATGAGAGTAGGAATGTGCCAAGAGGGGCAGGGCAGCTTTCTCCAGCTCAGAGGAAGAACAAGGACGCTGGGTATAATAGGCCCTTGGCAGACCCTTCCCAATCCCTCGGGCACCAGGACCTGGTCCCTCTGTAGCAGGAAACCGACACAGACAGAAGACTTCAGGCACCAGTTGATTAGAGGAAGCGGGTTTATTCGGCCGGGGGTACTCGGAACACCAGCGTGTTTCCCAAAACCGAGCCCCCCGACTCAATCTCTTGCCTCTCTTTTATCCACCTTTCAGGGTGGGAGTGCACGTGAGGGTCATAAAACAGAGAGACGTGACATCATCCTCAAGGTCCCGGGCTCAAGGGGGAAGGTCAGATTCGCCCTTGTCCTTGAGACCGGTCGGACCACCTGCCCTAAAGGCAACAGAAACCCAAGGAAGTTACTAGGTTACAATCTAGGCCCCGCGTATGTCAGGGGAGAAACACGCAGACAGCAGAAACGCCTACGGCTTGGCTAAGGCCTACACAGAGCGGCTAGGACAGATTCTTTTAGTTCTGCTTTTACTTTCTTGCCTTACCTCCATCACACAATCAGTGTTGTCTGTTTTCCTAACCAAGCAAAATACTTGTATGCAATTCCTAGCCAGCAGCCTGCTCCCCTGTAGCTGCCACCAGCATGAGTCCTTTGTTCCTGGAGGGCCTATCTCTTACTCTCTGGTCCTAGTCTTGCAGGAAGATGAGGCCCAACAGACAGAAAGAGCACCCAAACACCACATTTATAAGAGGAAGGGCTTTATTCACCAGCCAGGAGCTTACAGCATAGAAGAATTCCAAATGGCTGCACTCCCCGACTGGCTTGGGCTTTCCCTTTTTATCAACAGTCAAAAAATTCCACCCCACAGGGACTCTTCTCTTTGGCCAGTTTGAATCAAGCGGGAGATGCTATTCCAGCCCCTACAGAACTACAGGATTTCACAGAACTTGGAAATTTCCAAGTTGAGCCTATAAATTCCCAAGAGCTGAGTCACCATGGAGAGGACCCTGCAGGTGTGTCCTTGTGGTCTCCTTGAGAAGACCTGTCCTCCTAGACCTCACCTTTCTCAGGTATCCTCTCTCACTAGGCCTGGGCCCACAGCACACTTTTTTCTCCTTCTTCAAGTTCTATTCTAGGGCAATACTATAATAATAATATATAGTATATAATTCTTATAGTAATTATTAATATAATACCTAACTACTATGGGAAGAAGATGGCAAGAGGTAGTGATAAGAAAGAAAAGAAGGCACAATAGACAAGGAGGAGGCAGGCAAGGGCTGGAGAGACTAGACAGCTAAGACAGGAAGCCGAGAGGGAAAGTGAGCCCCCAGGGCAGCTGCAATCCTAGATGACTGCCTACTGACAGGCAGGAGGGCAGCAGGATGAGCTGTTCTCAGGGCAGGCTAGAACAGAGGCATGAGGTCATGGATACACCTTGGCTGCCTCCAGGATACACCTGGGATCATGAGCAGCTCACTGTCTGGGGAAGGAGTAATCTAAAGGGGGTAGTCCAGGCAAAGACGTGCCTGGGTCCCAGTCTGAGATGAGTTTATCATAGCAGCATTACCTAAAAAGGGAGGGCAAGCAGAGAACTCAGAGACTGTGGGCCAATACCCACTGAGATTCTGGTTATGAGAACCACTTTGGAGGCTGGCAGGCCTAGGTGCAAAATGTGATTGAGCCTATAAAATAGGGTCCAGGCAGGACCGTGAGGACAGAATG